GAGGCTGGGCAGCTGTCGGGCGGAGGATGCAGCCACCCTCCTCCCCTGCCTGCCCAGCAGCCTGCGGCCATGTTTGTCGGGAAAGGGCGGCAGGCCAGGGGTCGGGGTGGCCGTGAACTCTGGCCGGAGGAGCCGCCATCTGCTATCCCTTTCCCGTGCCCCGGGTACTGGGCTGGGGCCATCCCTTGCAAGGCCTCCTGGGGCTCTGGAGGCTGGGGCTGGGGTGCAGCCCTGGCGGCTCCCCGGTGCCCTGGACCCTGCCTGGGCCGAGTCGGTTCCCGCAGGGATGCGGCCTGGCCTGCCGGCATCCGGAGCCCGTGGTCCCCTCTGCTCTCGCGCCAAGTGCCGTTAATGGCCTCTCCCAGCTACTGAACCGGCAGCTGCCTTCAGTGCTGGCGGCCTCCCACTCCTCCGGGCCGCCCCCGCCCCCCCTTCCTGGCCCCGCGCGCACTCAGGCTTGCGTCGCTGCTGGCAGCGCTGCCTCGGCTCAGGTTTCCCGGCAGGCAAACGGCCCTCCTCACGCTGCTTGCGGAGGGCGCCCGGGCCTGCAGACCGCCCCGATCTCCCTGGTGGCCGTCCACCCCCCAGGCTGCCTGTATGCCTGTCTCCGCGATGGCTGCTGGCTGGGCTGGGGCTGGCCCTCGGGTCTGGTCCCTTCCTGCTGAGGAGGGGCACAGCGCGCCCTGCTGGCCTGGCTGTGGGTGGGTGTGTGTGGCGTGACTGCTGCTGCCCCTTGGCCAGAGAGGCCCTCCTAGGCCTGGCCTGCTGCACTGTTTTCCTGTTTGGGAGAGTCCCCTGGGCTCAGTGAGGAGGGGCAGGGGAAGCCAGGGCCCTCATGGGGGCACCCTGGGCTCTCAGATGAAGCCAGGCCGGGCAGTGGCTGGCAGGTGGGCGTGGCCTCTTCAGAGCCTTGGCCTCCTGCTTGTGTGCTGCAAGGGTGGTGGAGGCCCTGGCCTGCTGCGCCCACTCAGGGCCAGGCTCCTTGGTGGCAGAAACCCAGGTTGGGGGGTGGGCATGCGCCACGGGGCTGTTGAGCAGAGGCTTTGCCCTGGGGCCGGCAGAGCAGCCTGTGAAGCTGAGCTGGGGACGCTGTTGGAGGGCAAGGCCTGCTGGGCGGCTGCTGGGGGCTGCAGGCTCTGGGCCTTCTGGGGAGGCCGTCTGCAGAGGGCTAGGTCTGGGTGTGTGTCCCAAGGCCAGGGTGGTTCCACCGGGGATGGGAGTCACAGGTGCGTGTGTTTGTGGCTTGGGACTGAGGGGAAAGTTTACACGTTGAGATTTTGGAGGTGTCTGGAGTTGGGCTGAGCGGGTTAGGGTTCTGGAGCCCTGTCCCCACCCCACTAGAAGCTGCACTGAATCGTGGGGCTCAGAGCAGGCTGAGAAGGGGTGGGCACTAGGTGTGGGGGGCCACGCCCCACTCCCAGCATCCTGCAGGAGTTTCTGGGAGGCCCTGCTTATGAGCCGCCAGGCCTTGGGGTGCTCTGCAGGGGTCGGACAGCCATTGTCCCTGGGCCAGCCCCACCAGAGACTGAGGCAGGCCAGGGTCTGCAGGAACCTCTGGGCCAGTAGTGCCCTCCAGCCTGCAGACCCCAAGGGGCTGACGTGCTGCCCTCCCCGCTGTGGAGGCGCAGGGAGGAGGCTGAGCTGTGGGCGCATAGCCTCTGGAAGGGCAGACGCATAGACGTGAGCGGGGCTGGAGGTGAGGGTGTCTGAGCTGGTGGCTCCTCCTGCCTGGGCCCCCACCTTGGGCTGGGGTCTGCTCAACAGGTTTGGACTTTGGGGAGGAGGCCAAGCAGGACCTGGCTTGCTCGCTCCCCTCTGGCCTGGGCTCCCAGGCCCAGCAACCCACTGGAAACTTCAGCAGGGTGAGATGCAGCAGGTGAGCCTCCTGCCCTGGCCTTGCCCTGAGTACTTTGACAGATACAGCCCTGAGGAAGAGGAGAAGGAGGTGGGGAGGAGGAGGAGGAGGAGGAGGAGGAGGAGGAGGCCGAGGCCGCCTCACGTCGCACAGGAAGGCTGTGTGGCGCTCCGAGACAGGCGGGCGTTGCGTGCAGGGGAGCGGCGAGAACAGCTGAACACTACCCGCATTGTAATCGGAGAGGGGCTGGGGAAGAGAGAGACGGAGCGAGGGCGGCTGACCCCACGCTCCCCGGGGACAGGTGGGAGAGGCGGAACGAGGAGAGAGTGAAGGATTCCAGAGGTGGGCCGGCTTCCTCTCTCGCAGACAGACACGGGAGGAGGCGGGCAGCGGGCCAGCCCCATACCTGCAGTTCCAATCTGTGGTCCTGACAGCTGCAGCCACTTTGGGGAGGGGGAGGGAAGGGGGCTCATCGAGAGCGGAAAAATCCCAGCCGACACATCAGCCAGTTGTGGCCTGTGTCCGGTGCAGTCTGGGCTGGGGGCCTGTCCTTGGGGCTGGGCGGCCCCCGGGAGAGCGCTGACGCTGGGTCTGTGTGTGCCCCCGGCTGGCCCGGGTCTCGTGCGGGGCCTGACCCGGAGGGGTCACATGTGTTTCCTGGCGCCCGCAGGTGCTGTGCAGGGCGGGGCGGCTGGCGGTGGGCGCAGGCGGCTGGTGATGAATCATGTGTGCGGCCAGCAGCTCGTTCCCCAGGCCGGGGACAGGAGCTGACAGCTGAGGCCCAGCAGAGCATTTCCAGCCCAGCTCGGCTCACAGGGGCGGCTGCTGGCCCGGGGTGCAGGCTGGGCCCCCTTCCGTCCCAGCTGCCTCTGTGGGGCACAGGCAGAGGGAGCCCTGGGTCTCTGTGGAGGTGAGGCCAGCACTCCGGGAAGGGAGCCAGGGGCTGTGGTGGGCAGGGAGCACCTGCCACTCCTCTGCCCGGCGGCTGTGAGCCGAGAGGGGATTCGGGTGGGCCGCCGCAGGCCTGGGGGTCAGCCCACGCCACCCCCGGTCTGGTTTGAATTTCTGGAGCAGTGGAGGGTGACGGAGCGCTCCCCCTCCGCCCCTCCCTCTTGCTGGCTGGCGGGCCGGGCCCCCGGCCGCTGCTACCGGTGCAGCTCAGGGAGCGGCTGGGCTGGCTGCCCAGGCCCGAGGCTGGCCAAGCTGCAGCCGCGGTCGGAGTCGGGCCTGCAGCAGAGGGCCTGGCTGTGAGTGCTGCACCCCAACCAGCGGGGCCCTGGGGATCCGTTCAGCTCCGAGTCCTCTGGGTCAATTGGCCCTTTCTTCTGGCCTCGTTAGACACCCCAAATTCTGGCCCCAATCCTGGGGACTCTGACCTCCCTTTCCCTTGCGGTCCCTCTTGACCCTGCCCAGACCCCCCAGCTCGGCCGCTACCTTCCCACTGCTCCGGTCTGCCCTCCGGCGTTCCCGTTCCGAGCTCGATGCTGGCATCCCTCCGCACTGAGCTCTGGCCATGGGGTGCCCATTGGTGCCGGCCACCGAGGTCCTGCACCTGCCTGCTCAGGCCGGCAGCCCCTGGTGTCCCTGCCCTGGGGACTCAGTATCTTCCAAGTGCCCGCTCCTCAGATTTGTCCCCAGCGCTGAGTGGCCACTGAGGTGGGGGTTCATGTGGAGGTTTGCAACCCCCACCAGGCCCAGGTCTGGAGATGGGAGGCCTGGAGGTGAAGGGCATGTGGGCCACAGACCCCAGTGCTCACGGAGGAAGGGCCGGCGTAGGGGCCGTGGGTCTTCAGGTGCTGTGCAGAGTGCCTGGCCTGGCCTTGCTCCTCACTGGCACCTTAGCGCCTGGGAGGGTGGTGGGCGGGGGTGTGAGGAAAGCACCCGAGAAGGGAAGGGAGGGGGTGCCTCAGCCCCTAGCTGCACCGCCATGTCCCCCGGGGCCCGGCCTCCCGGCGGGCGGGGGCTTCTGCAGTGACTGAGCTTGTCCTCTCCTCCCCTCCCTCTGGCCAGCTGTGGGCTCCTGCAGGATTAGGGAAAGGAAATTTGGGGTTGGGTTTCTCTCTGAACGAAACCTGCCGTTGTGACTTTTTATCCTGTTATATTTCTATCAGATTGGACACAGCCCCCCTCTAGCCCTTAATGGCTCTGGCTTTGAGAATTTCCTCCAAAATTACACCACTGCTTCCTGCTCCGTGGTTCCCTGGAGCCTGTCTTTGCAGAGGAGGGGCAGTCCCGGCCCAGCCCTGCGCCGATGCCCACGTGGGCCACAGCACCTGGTCTCCCTCCGGGGGCGCATCCGTGCCTGTGCCGAGGAGGGAACTGGGGCCGGCCGCTGCCCAGACGCCCGCATCTGGCACTGTCAGCCATTGTCCGCCCAGCCGGAAGCCGGGCTGTGGCCTGGCAGGGTTGGGGGGAGCACCGCCCGCCTTTCTTCCCTTTGTGCCCACTGAGCTCACACCACTAAATAAATGGTAATTGTCACCTGCAGGGTTTTAATGACCGGCCAGCTGTGTGCAGACTGCTGTGGGGGCAAAACCCACCTCCTGTGGTGGGCGGGGTCTTCAGGGAGCCGGCTGGGTGGCGCCCGGTGGCGGGAGGAGGTGGCCAGGGGGTCCTCCTTCCCATGCGGGCAGTGCTTCTAGGGTCCAAGTGGCCCTGGTGCAGACGGAGAAGACGTCCGTCCCTCCAGGCCAGGCTCGTGGAGGCAGGGCACCCACCCCCTCCGCTGGGCAGCACAGCTCTCTCCACTCCTTGTGGCCACTCCTTGGCACTCCGAGGCCAGATGCAGCTCCTCCTCACTCCCCTGTCCCCTGAAGGCCTGGCAGGCCCCAGGGTGGGGCACCCCTGCCCTGCTGCTGCCCCCCTCCCTGCCTTGTGGGGGCCCTGTCCTTCCTCACCCTCCCACCTTCTGCCCCACAGCTCCTCCCCCACCCCCTCCCCGGCATGGACCCCTCGTTCCCCACCCCCCAGCTTTCCGATAGAGGCCTCTGTCCTCAGCGCCTCAGGCCGGGGAGGGATGGCCCTGAACCCTGGAAAGTGAGGGCTTCCCAGGGAGCCCAAGGAGGGTGGAACCACCAGGGGTGGGAATGGAGGCTCGGGCTGGGGGTGCGTTCTGAAACTTTCAAGTGGACAGTTGGTCTCCACATTTGGAAGATACTGTTTTGTTTTTAATTATACAAAAATTTTCAGACTTTATATTATCATTATCAGAAACACAAGATGCCCACACACAGTGGCCAGAAGAAAACCCAGGCCCGAAGCCAGCGCAGAAAGTTCCAGTGGGCCCGGGCAGGTGCTGGGGCCAGCGCAGTCCCGCTGCCGGTGCCTGTCTGTACGTCCGTCTGTCCCTCGGCCCGCTCACAGCCAGGGCAGGGCTGGCCTTGGGGGCGTGCTCACGGCGAACCTTGCCCAGCTCAGGTCCAAGGTGGGGCTGTCTGTGGTCGCCCAGGGCGTCCACCTCCCCAGTAGCGTCTGCCGGCCGCCTCCTAACTGCGAATGGCTGTCTTTCTGTCGCGGTCCTTGCTCTGCGGAGGGGAGGGAGGGGTGTCAGCGCCCGGCAGAGCCCAGCGCCAGTCTGCGCCTCTCTGGCCTCCCTGCTGGGTGCAATCTCAGGTGGCCAGCGCTGAGGCAGGCACCTCCTTCCCAGCTCTCCCCAGCTTCCCCCAAGCGTTTTGGGGAGGGGAGCACACTGCTGCACAGCCGAAATTGTAAAATTAAATTTCCCAGATGTTCAGGCCCCAGGAGCTCGCGCGTGCTGTCTGGAGAGGAAATGGGGATTGGGAAAAGCCGGGCCGTATTTTCTCCCTGCTCACCCTGCTTTTCCGGTGCCACCAAGCTCAGCAGGAGCTGTAAATCACAGCTGGCCAGCGTCTCCTGCAGGGGCCCTCACCTCCCCGGCCCCCACATCTCCTGCCAGCCTCTGCCTTCATGTCCCATGGTCCATGTCTCCGGCAGCCCTACAGGACCTGGCGTCTTGCTGTACAGCCTGGGCAGGGTGTGGACAGCAGGTGCCCAAGATGGCCTAGGCCGGTGGTGGGCCACAGGGCTGTGAAGATCCCGGGGTCCCAACACTGCTGCCCCTTGCCAGGGGCAGGGTGGGTGGGCTGGAAGCAGCATCTTACTTATGAACTCGGCTCTTTTCCCTCCACCTTTCACCTTGCTGAATAGGGCGGCTTGCGGCGGCCTGGTCCAGCTCCCCAGCCTCCCCGCACTGGGTGGGGCCCCCTCTGGCCTTCCCTAGCTCTTGCCCCTCGTGCAGCTCCCTGGCAGGCACTCCACACTCCACTGGGAGCCCGGTGTCCTAAGGACTCCTGGAGAGGAGCAGCCCAGCGAGAAGGCCCAGCCCCCGGCAGGCCTGTGTTACAGGTGTGCCTGCCTGTGCCCTGCTGGGGAGCCCTGCCTGCGTGGCCTCGCCGCCTCTGCCTGGCAGGTGTGGGCTGAGGGGTGCATTGGAGGCCCCCTCGGTGCCCCACGGCCCGTGCTCACCAACTTTCTCTGGTTGCTGAGGCAGAAGGTGCAGATCTGTTTGGGCTGGGCGTTCTCGCCGTCGCGGGTGGGAGGCGGCGGGGGCGGAGGCGGGGGGCTGCCCGCGCGCGCCGCGTGGAAGAAGGCCGGACCCGAGTGGCAGGGCTGTCCGTCTCCGCAGGCCTCGCCCGCCAGCAGCACGTTGCCCAGGTGCGAGATGTAGCTGGAGGCCAGGCGCAGTGTCTCGATCTTTGAGAGCTTGCGGTCGGCGGGCTCGGTGGGGATCAGCGTGCGCAGCGCCGTGAAGGCCGTGTTCACGCTGTTGGTGCGGTCCCGCTCGCGCGCGTTCGCCGTGTGCCGCTGCCGGGGCTCACGGCCTGGCCGGCCCCCCGGCCCCCCGCCCCCGGCTCGCCGGCCCCCCGACCTCCGCCGGCCGCCCTGGAGGCCGCAGCGCGCCGCGTGCACGCGGCAGGGTTTCTCGTCGGAGCCCGAGCTCTCGCTGCCGCGGTCCTCATCCTCCGACAGCGGGCTCACCTCGGGGTACAGGTAGCGGCCCGGCGGCGCCGGGCGCAGCGTGGCGAAGGACATGGGGCCAGCGGGGGCGCGGCGTCAGCTCCGTCGCACGCTGCTCATGCCGCCTCCTGCGGCCGCCGCGGGCCTCGCGGGCCACCCGGGGCCGAGGCAAGGCGCGGGGTCTCGGGCTGCGCCCCGCGGTGGCAGCTGCCGGGCGCCGCGCGCACATGTGCGTCCCGGGCTGGAGCTGGGCCCCGAGCCGCGCCTTTATAGCGGCGGCCCGGCCCCGCCCCCGTGCACGCCCCGCCCCTCCTGGCCCGGAGGCTCCTCGAGCTGCCCGTCGGGTCCCCGGGCCTTCTGTGGCCACGCTTGCGGGGGCGGGGTGCGGGTCTTTGGAGCATCGCGCTGTCTCTGGGGATGCGGAGGAAGCGGGAGGCCTCTAGGCCATAGTTCCTCAGAGCCCCAAGACCGCAGTGCCCCCCCTCCCCAGGAGAGGGGAAGGAGGTCAGCGGGACCCACCACCCCACTTTCTCCCGTGGCACAACCGTGTTAACCCAGCCGCCCTGGCCCTGCTGCCTGACCGCACCCTGTCTGTCTCTGACTCCATGCGCGCCAGGTCCTGCCTGTGCCAGGCCGTGTGTGCAGGAGGCGGGCACAGCCGAGCGTTCAAGGGCCTAGAGCTCAGTCCCTGCCTGTCTGCCCTGCACCTGCCCCTCCAGGCTTGGCACGGACTGTGCCTCCTGCCAGGCCCTGACCAGGTCCCCTGTTCTGTGCTGTGTGGACCCCTCTCCCCGTGGGTGTCTCTTTCTCATCTCCCCCTTTTCTCCTGTTCCTCTCCAGGGCCACCAGGCCCCTCAGGAGACATACACATACCCCCATTCTCCAGTTTGGGGATGGCCCCCTTTTCCCAGGTGGAGGAGAGGGAAGGCAGTTGTGTGGGGAGGTGCTGGGGGTGGCCCTCTGGGGAGGGGCACGGCCCAAGGGGTCCCTCCTATGGCAGGGGGGCAGCAGGCGCCCAGCTGTGCTCTGTCTTGCCTGGGCCCCTCCCCGTGGCTACTGTTGCAGGAAGCAGCCGCCTGGGCAGCGGTCCCCAGGCTGGAAAGAGCGAGGGTGGCGGCTGGCAGGGGCTGCAACCAGGAATGTGCGTCCAGGAACGTGGCTGTTCTGCCTGGGGAGGGGCCGGGGGCAGATGGCGGGGTGCTCCCACGGAGAAGCCTCGGCTTCTGTCTCTCTGTGGAGTGGGTCAGGTGGGGTCTTCCCTGAGTCCCTGTCTTTCAGCTGCCCAATTCTGCTTAAGGCCCCTGCCAGGGGAGGGAGCCCGAGGGTGATGAGGTCATCCCTGTCTGTGGCTGCCCAGAGCCCTGGCCAAGGAATCCAACGAGGGGGGAGCTCTGGGGTTGGCACCACTTCAGTGGAAAATGTGAAGGTGCAGCTCCGGCGCCTCCAAGGGCGGGGGTGGGGGCAGCGTGGCCGCCGTGCCACGTCAGACCCCAGGGCTGGGGAAAGGGCGTCTGTCGGGGCCAGTGACCTCAGGGCCCTTGAGGGCCGGGCCTGCACTCACCCCACAGCCTCCTCACCTGCTCCCCTGGGCGACCCAATGCCGGGATGGGCCTTGTAGGGTCAAATGCTGACATGGTGGCCCCCGCTGGCTGTAGGACATCCGGAACACGGTGGGCAACGTGCCCCTGGAGTGGTACGACGACTTCCCCCACGTGGGCTACGACCTGGATGGCAGGTGCATCTACAAGCCCCTGAGGACCCAGGATGAGCTGGATCAGTTCCTGGACAAGATGGACAACCCTGACTACTGGTGAGGGCTGGTGGGGCAGGGCTGGCGGCCGGGGTGGGCCTGGGGGGTGGGGCAGGTCTGACTGGCAGTCTCCAGGCGCACCGTGCAGGACCCAACGACAGGGCGGGACCTGAGGCTGACCGATGAGCAGGTGGTGCTGGTGCGGCGGCTGCAGAGCGGCCAGTTTGGGGACGCAGGCTTCGACCCCTATGAGGTAGGTGGCAGCGGCTGGCCCTGGGGGGTTCTGAAGGCACCGTTGGGGGCTCTGCCACCCCGGCCCACGTGCCCACGTCTGTTCCCCAGCCGGCTGTCGATTTCTTCAGTGGGGACGTCATGATCCACCCGGTGACCAACCGCCCAGCCGACAAGCGCAGCTTCATCCCCTCCCTGGTGGAGAAGGAGAAGGTGGGGCCGCCCCGTGTCCCTGGGCCTGGGCCTGGGCCGCCCGCCCTGCGTTGTCCATCCTGACCCGGCTGTCTGTGCAGGTCTCTCGCATGGTGCATGCCATCAAGATGGGCTGGATCCAGCCTCGCCGGCCCCGAGACCCTACCCCCAGCTTCTATGACCTGTGGGCTCAGGAGGACCCCAACGCCGTGCTGGGGCGTCACAAGATGCACGTGCCCGCACCCAAGTTGGCGTTGCCCGGCCATGCCGAGTCGTACAACCCACCCCCCGAATACCTGCTTGGCGAGGAGGAGGTGGGCCTGCGTCGGCGGCGGTCTGGGCCCTGCCCCCATGCCGCCTCCTGATCCCCCTCACCCGAGTCCCCCCTGGCCTCCACAGCGCGCAGTGTGGGAGCAGCAGGAGCCCAGCGAGAGGAAGCTGAACTTTCTGCCACGCAAGTTCCCGAGCCTGCGGGCCGTGCCTGCCTACGGACGCTTCATCCAGGAACGCTTCGAGCGCTGCCTCGACCTGTACCTGTGCCCTCGGCAGCGCAAGATGAGGGTGTGTGGGGGTGGCACGCCTGGGGGGGGGCAGCACATGGGGCAAGGCTGACCTGGCGCTCTCCCGCCCCAGGTGAACGTAGACCCTGAGGACCTCATCCCCAAGCTGCCTCGGCCGAGGGACCTGCAGCCCTTCCCCACGTGCCAGGCCCTGGTGAGTGGAGGCCAGAGGGCTGGGGTCGTGCCCTCCGTGCCTGGCTCCTCGCCTGCTAAGCGGAGACCGGGGGGCTGGGGTTGTGCCCTCCGTGCCTGGCTCCTCACCGCTGCCCTCTCAGGTCTACAGGGGCCACAGTGACCTTGTCCGCTGCCTCAGTGTCTCTCCTGGGGGCCAGTGGCTGGCTTCAGGTGGGTCTGAGCTGGGGGTAGCCTTCGGCTGGGGGCAGGTGGATGTCCAGGTGCTGAAAGCCTTCCCTGCTGTGTCCAGGCTCCGACGATGGCTCCCTGCGGCTCTGGGAGGTGGCCACTGCCCGCTGTGTGAGGACTGTGCCTGTCGGGGGCGTGGTGAGGAGCGTGGCCTGGAACCCTAACCCTACCGTCTGCCTGGTGGCTGTGGCCGTGTAAGTGGGGCAAGGGAGCCCTGGGGGCAAGGGAGCCAGGGGTGGCGCTGTGCTGAGGGGCTCTGTCTGGGCCTGGCCCACAGGGAGGACTCGGTGCTACTGCTGAACCCGGCTCTGGGGGACCGGCTGGTGGCAGGCGGCACGGATCAGCTGCTGAGTGCCTTCTTCCCGCCTGAGGAGCCTGCCTCGCAGCCCGCCCGCTGGCTGGAGGCCTCGGAGGAGGAGCGCCGAGTGGGCCTGCGGCTACGGATCTGCCACGGCACGGTGTGTGGGTGCGCCGAGGGTGAGGCTCCGTGGGAGGGGCCCGGCTCAGCCAATCAGCCAGCCTTGCCCTCCTGCAGCCAGCGACGCAGGTGACCTGGCATGGACGTGGGGACTACCTGGCTGTGGTACTGGCCACCCAGGGCCACACCCAGGTGCTGATCCATCAGCTGAGCCGTCGCCGCAGCCAGAGCCCGTTCCGCCGCAGCCACGGGCAGGTACAGCGGGTAGCCTTCCACCCTTCGCGGCCCTTCTTGTTAGTGGCGTCCCAACGCAGCATCCGCCTCTACCACCTGCTGCGCCAGGAGCTCACCAAGAAGCTGATGCCCAACTGCAAGTGGGTGTCCAGCCTGGCTGTGCACCCAGCAGGTGAGGGGTGGGGGGGCCATGCACCTGGCAGGTGGGGGGTGGGGGGCCGTGCACCCGGCAGGTGAGGGAGGGGTGTGGACACTTGCATCACAGCCTTGGGCCCTAGGTGACAACGTCATCTGTGGGAGCTACGACAGCAAGCTGGTGTGGTTTGATCTGGACCTTTCCACCAAGCCATACAGGGTGCTGAGGTGAGAAGAGCTGGGGGTGGAGGCCAGTGGAGCCCCTCCCTCTAGCCCAAGCCTGCCTTCAAGCTGCTTCCTCCCCACAGACACCACAAGAAAGCTCTGCGAGCTGTGGCCTTCCACCCCCGGTACCCACTCTTCGCATCAGGCTCGGACGACGGCACTGTCATCGTCTGCCATGGCATGGTGTACAAGTGAGTGCCAACCCTGCCTGGCCCCCTCCCCAGGGCAGTGGCGTCTGGTTGTGTCCTGAGTCATCCTTGTCCCCACAGTGACCTTCTGCAGAACCCCCTGCTGGTGCCTGTCAAGGTACTGAAGGGACACACGCTGACCCGAGACCTGGGGGTGCTGGACGTCGTCTTCCACCCTACTCAGCCGTGGGTCTTCTCCTCGGGGGCAGATGGGACCATCCGCCTCTTCTCATAGCTGTGCCGCCTGCCCTGGGGCCGGGGTGCTTGTGCTGGAGTCAATAGAGGCTTTTCCCTGTGCTGCCTGGTGCTCCCACCTTCTTGAATTGGGGTTGCCGACAAAACCGCCCCCACCACAGCACCGAGCCCCCCGACTTGCAAAACGGTGGGGACAACACACCCAGCCCAGGGCACCCGCTGGCCCATCCCTTAAGAGGCTGTGGCATTGCACCCTGTCAGGCATTTGCTGGGAGCAGATGAGTTTATTGGGCACACGGTCTCCCACACCCTGTCTGGCCCCGGCACACCCCTCGATGAGGGCTTGGGTTTAGTCCCTGGCAGTGCCTGTTCTGGAGCCAGGCCCCTCCAAGCCTGCAGCTGGTCCGCAGGAGGCCCTGTCACGGAGCGCAGGCACAGGTCTGGGTGGGCACTCCTTGCTGGGGGTGCTGGCTGGAGCCTCAGGCGAGCTTCACCAGGCGGCCCAGGGCCTCAGCAGCCCTCGTCCGCACCTCTGGGGCCGGGTCCTTCAGCAGGATCTGGAGTGCTGGGGGCAGAGGGAGGGGCTGCCTGGGGCAGTGCCTTGCAGCCACCGTGCCTAGGGGCTGTGACCTCCGCATGCCTATGCCTGCTCGTTGGCCACGGTCTCCTGACAGCCTCTGCTGGGAGGGCTCAGGAGCCAACGGAAAGATAGTTTTTCCTTTTTTAGTGTTTTTTAAGCTCTTTTGGAACAGTTAAGAAGTTTCCGTGAATTACTAGAGACGATGAGGTCACCAGTGACAGGGAAAAAAATCCTGAAATCCAGGAAAATCACTTAGTCCCTGTGGGTGCCTACAGGGTCAGCAGGGCCCAGCAGAGGGGCCCCTGGAGGGGGAGCTCACCCGAAATGAGCCGGTCTAGCTCCACCTGCGGCTGCTGCCTGGGCTCCGCGTGCAGCACCAGGAACCCTGTGAAGTAGGGGTGTCAGGCGGGGCCGTAGGCGGAATGGGGGCAGGGCAGGGGCCGGTGCTCACCCGTGAACAGTGGGGCAGCGGCTCGGACGTCCTCCCAGCTGCTCTTGAAGTAAAACAGGCAGGTGCTCAGCAGGCGGCCCAGCAGGTCTGGGAAGTGGTGCATCTGGGGGGGAAGCCTGGTCAGCTCTCCTGGCCCCACCCCACCTGGCCCCTCCCCGTCCACCTGGCCCCACCCTGCCCCTCACCAGGTGCTTGCAGGTGGTGTTGAGGAACTCCCCGAAGTGCAGGGCCCGGCCCTCCTGCAGGTGCTTCTGGAAGGCGGCTGAGAGGTCCTCACATGCCAGGTTGGGGCCACACATGAGCAGGGCGAACCTGCAGGCCTGAGGGGTGCAGCACTGAGGCTGAATCCAGTTGAGGCCACCCGCCCCACCCCCTGGCTACTCACGCTGGCCACAGCAGCCTGAGGGTCCTGCAGGTGCAGCAGCAGAGGCGCCAGCCCGCCCACCACCTGGTCCAGGAAGATGTCCTCACAGTCTCCGTGGCAGGCCTTGTTAAGGTGCCCGAAGAGGCGGATGGACGCCGTCCGGAACTCCGTCTTCTCCTGGGAGGGACAGGCAGCACGCATCCTCTCACGTGCTGCGCCCCTGCGGGCCTCCCTGTCCTAGCCCCCCGCCGTTGATGGTGCCCTTGCCTGACACGGGCCGGGACTGGTGGGGGCTGCCAGGCCCAGCAAAGCAGCACCCATGCGGGTCTGAGCTGCTCTCTGTGGTCACCGAGCAGTGGTGGGAGAATGATGGGGAGCAGGATGGGGCTGGGGCTAAAGCTCAGAGTAAAAGGCTGGAAGAGCTGGGGCCCCGCCTCCCCCGCCCCGCCCCAACCCCAGCGCAGCCTACACTGTCGAAGAAGGGCCGGACGCGGATGGCCGTGTGCAGCAGCCCCGGGCGCAGGTCCCAGGCCTCCGTCAGGTGCAGCAGCCGCGCCAGGCCCACCATGGCTTCCAGGGCCACTGGGCTGTGAGGGTTGTCCCCATCATCCAGCCCGCCAATCATGGCTGTGAGGAGCTGGGGGCCGTGGGTCCGCACCTGGGAATACCCTACTTTCAGCCGGGGTCCCAGAGTCACCGTCCCTGAATGCCACCCCACCAGACAGGGTGGCATTCGTGTACAGCTCCCACCCACACTGCCTGGGCCCCACCCCACCTTGTCAGGGCTGCCGGAGGCCAGGTTGGCCAGGCCACGGAGCACCAGCCTCCGCACACTGGTGCACGTGTCTTTCTGCCGCGCCGCCAGGCTCTCCAGCAGCGAGTCCAGGAGCATCAGGTCGTTGGCCACGTTGCTGTTCAGCAGCTGCAGGCAGGGGTGCCATGACTGCCCCTCCAGCTAACCCTAGGACCCAACCCGCCAGCCCGGGCCCAGAACACCAGAGGCGGCCCCCAAGCCGGTGAGGCAGACGAGCTGGAGGACGTACTCACTGGCTCTCAGATCTGTGGCAGCCCCTCCCACTTCTGCCGCTGGGGCCCGCTCTGACCCCACCCTGCCCTGCTGCATGGCCATGGGCAAGACCAGACCACCAAAGTCATCTGGAGTTCCAGGGGTCAGCCCTGCCCAGCCTCCTCTCACCAAGAACAGAGGTGTTCCTGGGCGGGATAGAGGAAGTTCTGGCACACTGGGAGGAGGCGGCTAGTGTCCACTTCCCTCCTTTGCAGGCCATAGTTAAGGGAGCCTTTTAGGGTGTCCCATGCCTGTCCTGAGCAGGAGCCCCGCCCTGATGCCGTCTCCTTCCCTGAAAAGGCCTACCTCAGCCAGGAAGGCGGTGGTGGTCACCCTCTGGACCTCATAGGCACTGCTCTGTGTGCATGCCAGCTCCTTCAGCACCAAGGGTAGCCGGGGCCCCGCATGCTCAGCCATGGCCCTGCAAAGGGGGTTGCTGAGGGTGCACCCTACCCAGGCACCTCCCACCCTGCACAGCCCTGGTCAGTCCACCTCCCGCTGCCAGGCTCTTCGAGTTCTTCCACTCAGGTGCCTCCCAGCGTCTTGCCAAGCCTCTGCAAAAGGGTCTCTCCCCATCCCCACCCCAGGGAGTGAACAGGCAGGAGTTCAGGCCACCACCGGCCTGACACATGGGAACCTTGTCACGTCCCGGGCCCCCCGAGATCAGTTGGAACCCAGCCAGTGCTGAAGCTGCAATGGGCTGGGCCTGCTCACCTGGCCAACCTGGTAGTCCCCTCCTCGTGCCCTGCTGAGGTCCTGAGCAGCTCCCAGCCTCCCTCTTGGTCCATGCGCTGTACCACAGCCTCACTGCCGCTTCGGAGCAGCACAGCCCGCAGGGTGTCCACAGCAGAGCTGCAGGATAACCAGGGTGCTCCGCTGGTGGGGGCACATGTACCCGCCTCCCTTCCTGAGGAACCACTCAGGTCTGCACCTGGTGTGTGCTGTCCACCTGGCACCTAGCCCTATCCCTGCCAGAGCCATCTTCCAGGAAGCAGACTCTGGGCCACCTGTTGGAGCGCCCCGTTTTCCCCACCCAAGGCAAGGATGCACATGTTGGCCTGGAGGTATCCAAGTGAGAACTGGACACAGCCAAAGCCCCCTGGCCGCACCTGCCTGCCTTTCTAGACACCCGGACAATGCTGGGCACCCATACTACAGGTGCCCACCCCTAGGCCTTTCCTGCCTGGCACCTCAGGCTCTCACATGTGTACCCCAGGAGATTCCATAGCCCTGGGAGGCAGCCAAGCCAAGCCCCTGATCCATTCCTAGTGTTGGCTGAGGCTGGCTGGCAAGTGAGTGGCAGGATGGTGCTGAGAGCTGGAGTGACTGCAGGGGTGCACCCAGCCCGCCCATGCTGAAGAGCAGGCAGGTCTCTTGGCAGGAACTCGGCCACCCCTGGCCTGACACTTGGACAACTCTCCACCTCTCCTGACGCCCCAGGGCTCTGCTTGCCCTCTGGTCTCTCTAGCAGTGGGAGGCAGGGCTGGGGCTCAGAGGCCAGAAACGGACAGGGAGAGTTTGATGTTGGAACCTCCGCGGGGCCCGGCTTGAACCTGGCATCTGACATCCGCTCAAATGAGCCCTTTCCTGCTAAGGCTGTTGTGCTCCTGGCTGCCAGTGGGCAGGACATAGTGTGAGACCCAACAGGCGTGGTCTGGGGGACAGGGTGCCCTGCACCAGCATCCCCACCCGGCAGGACCCTCCCTCACAACTCGGGTGCCCACAGCCCCCTGCCATGTGGCCTTCCGCTGCCCACTAGCACCTCACACCTTAGGCCCCTGCTGCCTGTGGACCTCTGCCTCTACAAGTCCTCGTCCTCAGGAGCGCCTGGCCCAGAGCAGACAACCCCCAAGCGGCATGAGCCATGTGGTGGCCACTGGCTGTGGTGACTGCCACTGCAAAGGTCACCTGCCGGGTGTCCCACAGGCACCCTTCCCATAATGGGCTCTTGACCAAGCGGCTACAGGTGCTGGGACACGGGGTGGGCCCAGCAGGACCAAGTGGCCCCGCCAAGCTGGGGGACAGGTCCTGCTCGCCTGGATGGTGTTTGAGGCCCTCATGCAGGTGGGGTTCAGGAGGGTGTGGTGAGCACAGGAGCATAGGACAAGCTTGTTAGAGATCTAGTGATGGGTCCCATGAGGCTTCTGGGAGGTTGGACACACAGGCTGGTGATGCCAGCAGGACTGAGGTGGCCTGAGAGCTGCGCAGAGGCTGCAGCAGCCGAGGGCCATGGGGGTCGTGGCAGCCCAGGAAGCAGGTGCTAGGGGTCTGCTTCTGGTATACCACTGCCCCCATAGGTATGCTTGGGTGGCCAGCCCCTCACGTGGCCCTTGATGAGTAAGCCCAGGCTCCACTCTCAGGGGGTCCCTCCCCAAGGTAGGACATGCTAGAAGGCAGCTCTGGGTGTACCAGGAGTCTCCCATGGTTCCAGCGTGGGGCCTGATCCTTTGAGCCCAGGTAGCCTGGGTGCCAAGGGGTCTTCTAGCCCTGGGAACAGGACAGCCAGCACTGACCATAAGCAGAGGTGAGAAGCACACCCGTCACTGCGTTAATGGAAGGTGCCCTTGACACCAGCAG